GGAGGCTAGAAGTCTGAAATCCAGGTGTTGGCAGGGTTGGTACCTTCTGTAGGTTCTAAGGGATAATCTATTCCATGCTTCTGTCCTAGCTTCTGGTGGTTGTTGGAATTCCTTTGTGGTTCATTTTTTGTAGGTGCATCACTCCAGTCTCTGCCTCCTCCACATGGCCCTCTCACTGTGTGTGTCCTTTCTTGTTATAAGGACACCAGTCATTGTATTTAGTTTAGGGCCCACCCTAATTCAGTATGACCTCATCTTAACTTGATTAAATCTGCAAAAATCCTATTTCCAAATAAAGTCATTCACAGGCAGGATTTGTGGGGGACACTAGTCAACCTAGTACAACGAGTTATTCCAACAGACTAACTATGATAGAAGTTACTTGTTATAGAAGAATTTAATTAGAAGTGAATAACAAATATCCTTGTATTGTGAATCTAATACATGCATTTTTTCTAAACTCTTAAGAAAATTGTTTATTTTCCACTTTGTACTCTGCTATGAAAATATTATTCTAATGTTCCTAAAACTAACTTATACTTTTAGAAAAACACTCTGGGGCTTATGACTATAGTTATGGACATTTATAAAGAGGAAGAGGCCAAAAAGTTTATTTTATCAATACTGATAGTATACTTTCCAAGACATAAGACTCCACTTACACTTATTGGCTAGATCTCTAACAAATGTAGTTAACTTAGAATCCAAGATGAGGTACATTTCGAAAGATGTAGTCTTTATTAATGACTCTATGTCCAGACACTGTGTTATCTAATGTGATAGGAATGATAACTTGAAGCTACAAATTCAGATATGCAAAAAAAAAAAAAAAATTTAAATTCTCTCTAAACTGGACTTAATTTTTTTTTTTTATTCAAACACTTCATTTCTATCTCATGGAAGAAATTTTCATCTAGTCATTTTCACCTAAACTCAGTCAAATTCAGTTATCTTTTCATAAATTTTAAGTTAAAGGTTTGTCACTTTCAGGATTGTTCCCTTCACCCCTTCTATCCTGGGTATCATATCGTCCTGGTCTGCCTCATATCCAGCGTGGTAACGCCTGTATGACTTGTATGGTGAGGCCCTGTTTCCCAACAGTGAAGCCTCTTGAGGATCACCAGCTCCAGTTCAGCCAACTTCTGTACTCTTCACAGCTATAACAGGAAAATCACCCATTTAGCTGTATGGGGGGCTCTCTGGGTCATGGGGACTTTCTGTGAGGCTACCTTAGGCTCCTCATATCCAAGCACCCTAAGCAATCTTCCATTTAACCTTGAGTGCTCACGTGGGCTACCTTTTCAGACAAGCTGGTTTGAATCAGGGAACTGAGATCTACTCTCCGTCATACCACTGAATTTATTCTGTGTGTGTGTGTGTGTGCAGAGGGGATGATTCTAATGTCACATTCTCCTGTGGCTGGGCTGCAGGAGGAGACAGAGATCAGGGACACTCCTCAGAGGCTGATCCTCTGGCTTCCTCTCCAGCTCTAGCCTTTCTCCCCTGAGTTCTACTTAACTAGTATTGGGTAGGGGTAGGAAAAATGGATTTCAAATATTTGTTGTCTTCTACCTGAACTGTGACTTTAGAATTCTGGAATAAAAAGTTTAGTGTCCTGTTGTCTGTTTGCTTTGGTTCTGCTTCCCCTCAGGGTGGTTATGGCTTCACATCCAGGGTGTAAATGGGGATTATCAGAGATGTATAAAGAAGTGGAGGTGGAGGGTGCAGCATGACACAGCTCACAGTATAATGATTCTCTGCTACCTTTCTTTTTATAATTCTTGCTCCATCTACTTTAGTGATTCCTCTTCCTCCACCTAAATGCAGGTGTTCCCCAAGTTTCTTTCTCTGTAGACTCTTTGGGTAATTTCATCTATTTAATACAGTCAACAATTACGTCTTTGCCTTAACTCCCAATTCTATGCTTTGAATGGGTTCCTAATTAAATTTTTTGGATAAATGTAAATAAAGATCAGAATTAGATTTTATTTATTTAGGAGTCTAAGTGTAAGCCACTCAAGTGCTACAATTATTCTTGTTGCAGTGAATTTCCCTATTTTCTTTAAAAAACAAAACTTGACTTTTCAAATTCCTAGATTCTTAAATGAAATCATTAACTACATTTTGGCCTTCTTATTTTTCTGAATTTTAGTTTGAAGGGAAGCTATCTGCTGTAGCTCAGGAGTAAATTTGCTCTCCTTCTCTCCCAACTGCCCCTAAGTCTCTTTGAACTGCTCTAGAAGTCATCCTGTCCAACATAGTGGCAATATTTCCTGATAGTGCTTTTGACAGCAGAATTGTCCAAAGCTGACCCCTGTGCTTCTAAGGCAAGTCTCTCCTAAGGCAAAACTAGTGTAGAAGTTCAGAGCCTAGTTCTGGCAACCAGACAGCCTGGGTTCAAATTGTAGCTCTGTCACTAATTACTTGCTCTGTGACCTTGGACAATTTATGGAATCTAAGTTTCCTCATCTATAAAATATGAGTAACAAAGCTCCCTAATTCATTGGGTTTTTGTGAGGATTAAAGAATTAAACAGTGAAAGAAATGCCCCATACTAAGAACTATGTAAGGAGCTATCATTATAACCAGTCATCTTTTGCTGTTTGTTCACCTAGTGTAGTTATTAGCCTTGGCCTCTGTTTATTAGGCCAGACTAGCTGTTTAATTTTCTCAGTTATTTCTTTAAAATTCAACTTTTTCAGATAAAGATCTGATATATCTTGTACATTTCACACACACGCACAAACACACACACACACAAACACAATTTCAGCACTGGTACACATTGTAATGATTTTCTTTCATAGCCATTAAAGCAGTAGTTACGAAAAGGTTTGTTCTTGGCCTACAGTAGGGTCAGCAAGAGAGAAGGCTTGCGTGTGACGTTCAAAGGAAGTAGGCAGGACTTGGTGACCTATTGATTATAAAGGATCTGGTAGGTGAAGGTATTACACACCACTCTAAGGGACCAACCTAGGGTGATTGGGAAAGTAAAGATAGGGGTACTGTATTTATCTATTGCTATGTAAAAATGACCCCAAAACATAGTGGCTTAAAACAACAATAGCCATTTATTTTCTCTCATTTCTGTGGATCATGAATTCAGACAGGGCACAGGAAGGGATGGCTGGTCTCTGCTCCATGATGTCTGGGGTCTCAGCTGGAAGGTTGAAGGCTGGGACTGGAAATCATCAGAGAGCTTTTTTTAATCCATATTTCTGGCTAGACCTAGCCTGGGAGGTCACATACCTCACTTCTGTGATACTTCATGGTCAGGGCAGTCAGTATTCCCTCCCCAGATTCAAGGGGAGGGAACACCGACCCCACCTCTGGTTGGAGGAGTGAGCATGAGTCACATTGAAAGAAGAGCTTATAGGGTAGGCTAATTGTATGATTAGGCCACCCAAGATGGCTGTTCTCTTGCTCTCTGTACATCCCTCAACTAGACCCTGCTTCACCTATATCCTACTCACCTGACTGACCTTCCCTCTTAATCATAGAGCCTGATCAGTAAATGCCTACATACTTGCCCTGGCCCCAGCTAGTGAGTGTTGTAATCTTTAAATCAGAACAGCTCCACAAAGATGGTTTATCAAAGGGGCAGTGAGGGTTGTGCTCCTCTGCTGGTTTCCCTGGTAACTGATGAGGCAACCTGATATCAATTCCCCCGTAACAATTCCCTCTTCTTCCGGTAGGGAAGACTGTTGCCACTGCCAGCCTGCCATCTGCTGCCAACAATGGTGTGTCTCTCCAGGACCCTATTGCTTTGGGTGTAAGTAAGATCCCCTATCCAATAAACCATTGAGGTCTCTGTCGCTAACTCTGGATTCTTTCCATCTTGAGGCTGGGCAATTACAAGCTTTGAAGTCCTGCTGGGGTGCAGCCCAACACAAACTTTTGGTGTGGCCAACTTTGAAAAATACAATCTCCCACTTGTTACAAAACATAATTAAGGGTGGGGATTTTACTTTAGGAAAAACCTGGGTTTGGCTTGGAGTAAGTAGGGTTAAAGTGCTCACTTTGTATGTTGTCACTCCTATCTTCTGTATAAAGTAAGTATAGGGAATTCCCTGGTGGTCCAGTGGTTAGGACTCCGCACTTTCACTGCTGTGGGCCTGGGTTCAATATCTGTTGGGGAACAAAATCCCACAAGCCACTTGAGCAAAAAAAAGCCAAAACAACAACAACAACAAGCAAAATTAAAGAAATAGAAAAAAATTAAATAAATATAAATGAAAACAATGTTACAAAGTCACAAAAATTTGCTGTCTTCAGCTGAAGATCCAAAATTAAGCAATGGGGTCCCAAAACGTGAGAACATCATACCTAACACTTACATCATTCTCTGGAAATAGGTACAGGAAAGCAATGCCATGTAATGCTATCAGTTCAGACCCCAGCTCTACCACTTTCCATGCCATCATGGAAAAATAAGTTAACTTCTTTGTAGCTCAGTTATCTCATTAGTTAAGGGTGGATAATAATAGCATCTAATTCATGGAGTTTTTGTGAAGGTTAATATAATTTTATTAATTGTTCAAAGTTAGGCATTAATGTTTCCTATTCCTCTTCTTCCTCCTACTAAGAAACAATTGCAAAATTATCTCATCATAAATGAAAAGCTAACTGGATTGCTTGAAAATATTTTCATGAATTTCCTTTGTGCTTTGTGGGTATTAAGTGAGAGAACCAGGCCCAGTGAACAGAAAAGGCCCAGGTTACACATAAACCACTGGTCTCAGAAGGTCAGAAGTAGTGGAAAGGGGACCTGGCACCTTGTCAGCAGACTTCTAAGCCAGAGCCTCCTGCCACGCGCCGCTCGGGCGTCCCAGCGCCAGGCTCCGCCCCTCCCCTCCTCTGCTGCCAGCCAATGGCCGCCGGCCGTCGCGGCCCGAGGCTGCTATTGGAGGAGGCGGCAGGGTCGGCGGTTGAAGCGGGGTCAGGGACCCGCCGCTCGCGATCACATTTCTCCGCTGGTATCTGTCCGCTCGGTGCTCGGCCACCATGGCTGTGCTGGCGGCGCTTCTGCGCGGTGGCGCCCGCGGGCGCAGCCCTCTGCTTCGGAGGCAGATGCAGGTGAGAGGGACTGGGACTCGGGACTCGCCTCGGAAGTCTTCTGCCTGCGGCCTCGCGGCTGGAAGGAGCCCTAAGTGCAGGCCTGAGGAAGCCCCCGGAGGGACCCACGCCCCGAAAGCCACGCGCTCAGACTTGCCGGGTCGTACAGGGCGTTTCCATTCTCAGGGGCTCTCCCGGATCGTGATAATTGCTTTCTAGTGTGTCAAGTGGGGCAGGTATTTTGACAGGCAGAAAGGCGCGGGCTTGGTTCTGACCTTGCCCGACGGGTAGGGAAGGCCCGTAAAACTGTTTTCGAGCTTTTCTTTAAAACATGTTTGTGAGCGTTATTGTCAAGAGATTTTGATTTCATGCAATAGGTAATCATTATGGGCTTACAGGGTGAAATAAAAAGATGCACCGACTCGGAGCAACTTCAAACCTATAAGGGAAAATAAATGGCTACTCACTTTCTTGATGAGTAATGCTTACGTATTAAGGGCGTCCAGAGCCGTGTTTCTCTCTGGCTGTTGTGTTTAGGGAACACAGGAGCGACAGCCTTGAAAGAATCTACTATTTTCCGTACATCAAAGCAAGCTAGCTTGCACCACATGTTTAGGGTCTGGCAAAAGCTGAAGAGTAGGTAGAGAAGTTCAGGGTGTGGTTGGTGAAGCTTGACTTTTCCCGTTTGGTTGGAGCAATAAAGTTTGAAATCCAGTCATATTGTAAGAGTTTGGATTTGACATAAGTCAGTGAGGACCGTTGATATTTTTGCTCTTGTCATAATTAGAGGTATAGGAGCATTGAAGTGGGGAAAAAACTATTGTCTGTTAGGTGTGATGTAACTTGAACTGGTGTGTTGGCAGTAGGAGCTGAAAGGGAGGAGCACTATGCAAGAGATTGTGAAAGAATAAGTGTAGAACTTGACAAATGCAGAGTGAGGGTGGGAGCCAAGGGAAAAGGAAGAGTCTAAAATTAATCCTGGCTGACTGAGATAATAGAAAAGTCAGGAGGAGTGGGTTTCCAGGAAACATGAGTTCTTAGCATATTTGTTAGTATGTCGGAAATCACAGAAATGTACTTGGGTCATCCTGAGTTTCAACCAACATTTATTGGTGAATTAGGTGAAATAACTACTCTAATTTTGTAAAAAACAAAACATAAACCAAGTGCAGAACCCTCTTAATTTATAGTTTAACTGGGAGCTTAAAATCAAACACAATTGTTGCTAATGAGAAAAATGAAGTTGTAGGTTATGTAGCATATGATTTGTGGTGTTCATTTAATTGAACTCTAGGAATTAGTTGTATTGGTTGTTACTTGAATTAAGTGGTCATTTAATGAACCATGGAAATCCGTTTGTCTTAACAGGTTTTCAATATTCAGTGCCATTTTGTGGAATGGAACTTGATCTCTAACCCATTAAACTGGCTTTTTCTCTTTTGCCTTCAGATACACACAGGTCTCCCTTACGGTCAAGAAACCTTTATGGACTTTATCAGAGCTTGTTGCTTTCCAGCTGGAATTGCTTTTTTCTTATGGTCAAAAGAGTAGTCCTCCTCGTCACCTTCGTTTACATCCATTTCTCCTTAAACCTCTGCAGTTAGATTTCTGTACTGCTCAACAGAAGAATACCAGTGATTTTCTTTTCCTGTATTTTTTCTTCTTCTTCTTGACTTTTCTTTGTACTATATTTGACACTTTTGACCATTCCCTTCTTTAAAGTCCTGTCTTGCTATTTTGAACCAAGATAAATTTCCTTTAATACTCAGACTTAAAAAAAAAAAAAATCCTGCATTGTGCCAGTCCTGAGCCTATTTGTTTCCCAGATTCATCTCCTTTTCTCTTTCTGTATTGCTGTGAGGCCGACCCTTGCAGGTGCCAGCATCATCTGGCTTCTGTCTGGGTTCAGAAACTGGTGGAAGATTGGGAGATAAGAAGGGAGAAGTCAGGATAATTATTTTTTTCCTCTCTCTGCCTTAGATTGTGTTTCTGACAATGTCTGCCAGTTCTTTGGTTCTTGATTCTGCCTGGTGACCCTGACCCCTTGGCTTTGGTAACCCTGCTTCTTTGTCTTAACAGCCTGAGCATGCTAGTGGCTTCCTGTTGCTAATCTCTGTGCTGCTGTCTCCTGTTCTCAGCTCTTCTGTCACCTGTACATTTATTTATTTTAAAATTTATTTATTTATTTATTTATTTATTTATTTATGGCTGTGTTGGGTCCTCGCTGCGTGTGGGCTTTCTCTAGTTGTGTCGAGCGGGGGCTACTCTTCGTTGCAGTGCGTGGGCTTCTCATTGCAGTGGCTTCTCTTGTTGAGGAGCACGGGCTCCAGGCGTGCGGGCTTCAGTAGTTGTGGCTCATGGGCTTAGTTGCTCTGTGGCATGTAGGATCTTCCCAGACCAGGGATCCAACCTGTGTCCCCTGCATTGGCAGGTGGATTCTTAACCACTGTGCCACCAGGGAAGTCCCTCACCTGTGCATTTAATTCTCTGCATTAAATTCTGTTTCACATAGAATGGTTTTTATTTTCCTGGTTGAATCCTGATGGATACTCATGGTTTTTGCATTCCCTTCCCATTCCCTTTCACCCTGTGGAGTTTTGAACCTCAGTTCTCAGGCCTTTCTTATACAGAAAAAAAGAACAGAATGTTTTGGTAAGCAAGTAAGTGGTAATAGTGATCTGATTGGCAGTAAACACTGAGAGAAATGGATAGATTCAAGAGATAGCACGGAGATAGAATCTATTGAACTTAATGACTGATTGGCTGTGAATGGCTGAGAGAGGAGTTCCACGGGCCTTGATGAGCCCAGCTACAGCAAGTGTGTAGACAGAGGAGAGAAGAGGGCTTTGTACAGGGCCTTTGGGAGACACAGTATTTCAGGACAGGCAGAACAAGTGGGAACCTGTGAAGGTGAATGAAAAGAGAGGATGGTGTTGTGGAAGAAACCAGAGGAATGTAGTGTCACCTGAAAGCCAAGGGAGGGGAGATTTCCAAGGAGGAGGGTGTATTAGTTTCCTTAGGCCATTGTAAGAAAATACCGCATATCGGGCAGCTTAAAACAACAGATATGTTGCACAGTTCTGGAGGCTAGAAAGTCCGAAATCAAGTGCCTCTTCTGAGCTTCTTGTGGTTTGCTGGCAATCTGAGTTCCTTGGTTTGTAGATGCATCACTCCAGTCCTCTATCTGCACATGGCAATCTCCCTGTGTCTTCCCTTCCTTTCCCTGCATCTGTCTCTGTGTTCAAATTTCCCCTTCTTATAAGGACATCAGTCATACTGGATTAAGGCCCACCCTAATGAACTTATTTTGACTTGATTATTTCTGTAAGGACCACATTTACAAATAAAGTTACATTCTAAGGTCCTGGGGGTTAGGACTTCTTTCGGGTGGGGCACACAATTCAACCCATAACAGAGGGAGCATTCAACAATGTAAAAATTTAATATAAGTGTTTATATAAGATTTTAAAAAAGGAATTATATAAATGAAATACATAAAATGAACATATACATAAAATGAAAAGTGTTGATTGAAATGAGCATAACTGTTTAATAGTTGGAGAACTTTATAAAGGCCTGAAGAAATACAGATTTGGGATATCAGTTTTATGTAAGGGAACTTTGCTTCCCCATACAGTAATATGCATAAACACAAGGTATTTTGAGTACTAACTGCTAAATCCTCTAAGAAGTTGAAAAATTTTTTAAATGATTAATCTGTTTTCTCAAAATGTTTCCTTGATAATGGCTCAATTTCTAATTCATTTTACTGATTTTTACAGTTATTTTGGCATATGGATAGTTCTCATGAATTTGTCTCCTGTGAACAGAAATGAAAAATTAGTATCACTGATGACACGCTTGATTAGTGAAGAATATCATAAGTAAATCATTAGTTACTCAAAAATAGTGCAGTACTTTGGAAAGAGCAGTTGCCTCAGCTTCCTAAATTTTATTACTATTTTAAATAAAATATATAATATGTATAACAAATATATAATATGCATAATATAATATGTATATATGTATAATATGTAAACTATATGTATAATAGAGTGAGACTGTTTGGATTTGAAATCCCAGGTCTGCCCCATATTGGCTCTGTGACTCTGGGCAGGTTACTTGACCTGCCTGTGCTTTAGTTTCCTTACTTGTAAAGTAAGAATACTAATATCCACCCATTGGCTGGTTCTATATCTAAAACATATTCCATATACATCTGTTTGTATCCACCCCTCTTGTGACCTCCCTAGTACTAGCCACATGAGCTCTTGCCTGGTCTCCTTCCCTTTTTCTACTCCTGCTCCTACAATCAGTTCTCTATACTTCAGCCAGAGTGGTCTTTTTTTTTTTTTTTTTTTTTTTTTTTTTTTTAGACTAGTCGATTTACAATGTTGTGTTAGTTTCTGGTGTAAAGCAAAGTGGAGCGCTGCTATTTTTACAGGCAATTCCTAGGCTTTATCCTGAACTTTTAATGCCCTCCGGGGCACGAACCCGTATCCCCTGCATCGGCAGGCGGACTCTCAACCACTGCGCCACCAGGGAGGCCCCAGAGTGGTCTTTTTATAATAGAAAACCCTTCAGTGGCTTCTCATTGCACAGACTAGAATCCAGAGTCCTTCTCATGGCCTCTTTGGTCCCTGCTTGTTTCTTTAGTCTCAGCTCAGACTGTGTTCTCCTGAGTATGTGGCTCCCGCTATACTGTTCCACTTTCTATACTTAGCATGCGCCAAGTTTGTTTCTAATTCAAGGCCTTTGTCCTAGTTCTTCCCAATGCATCAAATGCTCTTTTCCCTAGATCTTCCCCAGGCTGACTCTTTTTTTTAATTTATTTATTTTGGTTGTGTTGGGTCTTCGTGGCTGCACATGGGCTTTCTCTAGTTGCAGCAAGCAGGGGCCACTCTTCATTGTGGTGCATGGGCTTCTTATTGCTGTAGTTTCTCTTGTTGCGGAGCATGGGCTCTAGGCGTGTGGGCTTCAGTAGTTGCAGCACGTGGGTTCAGTTAGTTGTGGCTCGCGGG